GACACCCGCACAAACGCAAGAGACACTGAGCACCCAACACGGCTTCCTCCGGTGCGGTGTTTCCCCCAGTAGGGCCCCTGGCCAGCATCAGTACCCGGCAGCTTCCCAGAAGTGCTGACTCTCAGCCCCCTCCCCAGACACACTGAGGCGGGGGTCCAGCCACCTGTGACTTAGCCAGCCCTGTGGGTGACCCCCGTGCCTGTGTGCTCAAGGTTGAGGACCACTGCTCTGCGCAGCCACGGTCTGCGGGTCCACAACCGAAGACTGTTCGCAGCAGCACAGGCAGCCCAGAGAAACCTCAGCACCACCTGACAAAAACCTCGAACCCAACTCCAGAAATTCTTGAAAAATAATGTAAGGCTTTGCTGGCCATCTCTTGCGATTACCAAGGTGGCTGCACTGCTAACCTTCCTGAAAGCCCCCACTGTGGAACTTCTTTCACCTTGGAGGGTCCTTCTCGCTGGGAGAGCTGCCTCCCTCCCTTATTCTCCCAACACCTTAGGGTCACCTAGGTAACCTTTTTTAAATCCTCACCAGAGGACATACCTATTGATTTTAGAGAGAGGGGAAGGGAGGGAGAGAGAGAGGAGAAGATACATCAATGTGAGAAGGAGAAACATCTGAAGGGTTGCCTCCTGTACACATCCCTACGGAGCCGGGGGGGTGGGGAGAGACAGGACCCACAGCCCAGGCATGTTCCCTGACCGGGAATCGAACTCAGGACTTCTGGGTTTACAGGACAACGGCTCCAACCAACCAAGCCACACCAGCCAGAGCTAGATAACCCTTTTTTATACAGACCTATCTATATACTATGCTCTCCCATTTACAGCCTGATTCTACTCCAGCAAACCTTAAATCTCTCTGGAGAGCAATGCTGCTTGTAAGGGATGGGAATAAGAATGTGAAATGCTTGCAATCGCACCGTTTTTTCCTAGCACATGTTGAGCTAGCAGAGTATTCAGCTCCTAAATGGCTCTGCTCATCAAGGGGTGTGAGTGGCCGCCCTCAAAAAGGCAGTGGCGTGTGAGAGAGTGAAAATAAATCTCAGTTCAAATGAGAGCTCCAGCACCCACTAGCCGAGCGCCTGGCAGCCCTCTCAGCCTGTCCTCTCACTGCCAGTGGTGGCCAACCCGTCTCCCTCTCAGAGTGCTTGGGAGACCCACACACAAAGAACTGTGGCTCTTTAAAAGGCTCAACAGCCCTGGCCAGGTGGCTCAGTTGGTAGGAGCACCGTCCCGTACACCAAAACGTTGCTGGTCTGTTTCCCAATCAGGGCACGTACCTGGGTTATAGATTCGTTCCCCAGTTGGGGAATGTACGTCAGGCAATGGATACAGATTTCTCCCCTACTCTCTCTCTCCCTCTGCTTCCTCTCTAAGGCTCGACATATCACAGACATCACCACCGAACTCCTCTGAAGTGTTCTTGCCAGGATTAGTTTTAAGACATGGGGACATAAGCAGGTGAGAAATGAGCTAAGCGAAGGAAAGGTCTCTCTTTGCTGGAAGGAGACAATGTTGGGGGTTCTCAAGGACTTGGTGAGTCCTGCCCTGCTGGGTCGATTTTTCCAGATCATCAACACATCATAAGAGATACAGAGAGTGTCTCCACTAACTCAGTCTCCTTAACTGTTTATTTAAGTGAAAGGATGGATAAATACACCAAGAAGGAGACTTAGAAATTCAAATGCAACCAGGCTTTACTGGTCTTGTGTGTATGAAATAAAGACCCGCTTTCTCTGGGCTTTTGACACAGAGCTGCTTCTAAGCCCCAAACTGCTGAAGCGAAAGCAGAGGTCCAAAAGTCGCCTCTGACATTTGATTAAAACAGCCTCACATGGTCTCCAAATTCTCCTCTAAATCGGTGGGGAAGTACAACCAGGGCCACAGTAACTTAAAATGGGTGAACCAGAATATTATAGGAACATGCCTATGTATTCACACTTCATTAAATCTTGCTCTCCTGTATTCATTGCTTTAGTTGCTACTTTCATATTAGTTTATATCAGAATGTTATTTTATTTTTAAGGATTTTTATTTATTTATTTCTAGAGAGAGGAATAGGGAGGGAGAAAGAGGGATAGAAACATTGATGTGTGGTTGCCTCTTGTACACCCCCTACTGGGGACTTGGCCCACAACCCAGGCGTGTGCCCTGACTGGGAATGGAACTGGGGACCCTTTGGTTCGCAGGCTGACACTCAATCCACTGAGCCACACCAGCCAGGGCCCAGAATGTTATTTTACAAACTCTATTTTCCTGTCACCAAATCATCTACAGGGATAAGAACAGGGCACACATGCTTTCTATGAACTAGACATTTGGTCACGCCTTTGTCACTTCTTATGAAAGCAGCTTAGCTTTGAGCAGCCCAGGCTGTGCGTGAGCTTTCATTTTGAACACACGTCTTCAACGGCTGTTTGACATGACGTAACAAGGTACCTTTCACTGAGGGTGCCAAGCTGGTTCAGTTGACAGTGACAGTCTGCCTGGCTGGTAAGAAAATATGAATGTTCCTGTCCTGTAACACTGCTGCTGATGGCAAATGCGTATCCAAGGCCCCATTAGCTTTGGAGTTCCTGTGTTATTTTTCACTACAAAAGCTCACTTTAAATCTTCCATTGAACTAGCTTTCTGGGTTCACCCATGGTTCCTCTTTCCCGCTAGACACACACTGATGCTGTCCCTGCATGCAGAGCGCTCACGGCCAGGAAACCACGTGCAAAGTCACTGCCGCACGTCAGTTCCCAGCCGCTGTGCTGAGTGGTGTTGGGTGCCCCCCAGCCTGGTCATGCTGGTTACAGTTGCTCTTACCAGTACATCATTTTTAGAACTCCTCACCCAAGGATATGTTCATTGATTTGAGAGAGAGAGGAAGGGAGAGAAAAAGAGAGGGGGAGAGAAACATCGATGTGGGAAGAAAAACATCGGTTGGTTGCCTCTCGTATGTGACCCAACAGGGATCGAACACACAGCCTTTTGGTGCGCTGGATAACGCTCCAACCAACTGGGTCACCGGGCCAGGGCTGCAATTGTATCGTTTAATTAAATGCTATCTGAATGAAGGAAATACAAGAAAAAGAAAGGAAAAAGGGAGGGAAAGAGGGAAGAAGAGAAAGGGAACTGTGGTTTTGTGAAATCCAAGCGGAATGTTTTAGAAACACTCAATAAAAAGGCATCACTTAAAAAAACAGTTGCTGTCAAATTAGATGTGAAAACAACTCAGGTGTAAACCTGCAAAAACCGGAAGGATTCTGTACACCGAGTGTTCTGCGAAGGCCCCTCATTTCCTGTTCCACATGAATGAAACAAACCAGTGCACCACCAGCAGCCTGTGCACTTCACTCAGGCAAGAAAGTCGAGTTGGACCCGCCATCGGGGCCTTCACGGTGTGAACGAAACAGCGGAGCCACAGACTAGACCTGGCCAGCTCAGAGAAGGAAGGTCGCCACACAGGACGGTCTGCACATACAGGTTCCTAACTGAAAGCAAGTCACGGAGGGCGGTCACATCCTAGGCCTGAAGCTTCCTTGACAAAGGTCAATCTTTACCTTAACTAAGCATATCGTCTTCTGCATCTAAGACAACCTACCTTGGGAATGTGTGAGTAACCCTCTGCCCAGACTCGCACAGCCAGCCACCAGCGCCAGAGCAGGGGGCCACAGAGCCCTGCAGACACCTTGCTCCCCAAATGCCATCTCTGTGAGCTGCGAATGTTGGTCATCCTGTTCCCACCCGGGTAGAAAGTGTGTCTCTTCACTTTACTCTCTGTCCAACCACAGAGACTTCCCTGCTTTGCCTTCTCTCACCCCCTTCGCCTACCACCAATGGATTTCATGTGACCCTCCTTACGTCTCCTGCTTTGATCTTAAGGCATAAAATAAGCTGCAAAATTGCCATTTTCTAGAGCATTGTCTCAATCCATTGAGATTTTGCCTCCTGGCAATTGTCGTCAGTGTGGCTCAAATAAACTCATAAAAATACTCTGCCCGTTTAGACGTTTCTTACATCCACACCGCTCAGAAAAAGGTCGGGGTCCTCATCAAAGCCTGGTGAATGAACTTACACACATGACTTCAGCTAGAACGTAAAAGGCAAGCCAGTCAGGGAAAGACAAACACCATATGACCTCAGTATAATGTGGAATCTGATCAAATAAACTGACAAACAGAACAGAAGCAGAGGCCTGGACACATGGAACAGACTGACGGCTGTCAGAGGGGAGGTGGGGAGAGCTGGATGGAAGAGGGTGAATGATTAGCCAAAAAATATATATAGACACAGACAAGTGTGCTGGGCAAAGGGCAGGGTGGGGCCGTGGGGGAATGGGGCCATCTGTAATAGTGTCAACAATAAAAATAAAGTTAAAAATATAAAAGGTCCCAGTCAGGGCACATACCGGGGTTGCAGGCCGGTTCCCTGCAGGCCAGCTCCCAGCAGGGGATGCATGAAAGGCAACCGTACTTTGATGTTTCTCTCCCTCTCTCCTTCCCTTCCCCTCTAAAGATAAATAAATAAAATCTTTTAAAAAAATGTAAAAGGTATGTTTCTGCACATCTACCTTCCCACTACTACAGGGTTTTTCAGCACTGGTGCTCATCACCACAAATTCGAGGCATTTGCTGCTGGGAACACGTGGGAGCAGGTCAAAGGGGCCCCTGATCTTCCGGGTCCTTTGGAATCAGAGGAGTGTTATTCGCCTTGATATCCCTACCCGCTAATCCAAAATGGATGCTAAAATGACATCTTGTTGATGGAAAGATGAAAGGGAGGGAGGAGAGAAGACAGAGAAAGATAAGGGGAAAGGCAGAAAAGGAAGGAATACGGCCAGGGTTTCCTTTTAAAGTGTGTTGGGTTTCAGTTTGGGTTTGGTTCCACTTTGCTCAGTTTTTGCAAATCTTTGCTGCACTGAAGAAGCACAAAGATGTTTATGAGCAACATGCAGGTTGTCTCTGAACAACTAAGCTAAGCCTCTGAGAAGCAGATGCTCAGGCACAGATGGCCTTGTTCGGGGAAGCGGAGACCCACCGAAACACAGAGAGGGAAGCTGGAAGGATTCCATGGACTTTCACGCGGCAGAACTGGGACTCTCAGGCTTATGTCCCTTCCCTTTCCCGCCTCCCCCCGCCCCTTTTTGTTTTTCACAGTGGACGCAGGCTGCTCACGGAACCAGAAATTCAAACCGCTGTCTCTGAATTCCTCCTCCTGGGACTCTCAGAAAAGCCGGAGAATCACACCCCCCTCTTTGGGCTGTTCCTCTCCATGTACCTGGTCACCATGTTGGGGAACCTGCTCATCATCCTGGCCGTCAGCTCAGACTCCCACCTCCACATGCCCATGTACTTCTTCTTCTCCAACCTGTTCCTCGTTGATGCCTTTTTCTCGTCCACCACAGTCCCCAAGATGCTGGCAAACCTCTGGTCCCAGAGCCGAGCCACCCCCTTTGCCGGCTGCCTTGCCCAGATGCATGCCTTCCACCTGTTTGGGACCATGGACAGCTTCCTCCTGGCCGTGATGGCCATTGACCAGTTTGTGCCCATCGTCTGCCCTCTGCGCTGCTCCGTCATCATGAGCCCCCGCATCTGTGGGCTGCTGGTGGGTGGGCCATGGCTGATCACTAACCTCCAGTCCCTCGTACACACCTGTCTCATGGCTCAACTGACCTTCTGCGCAGGCTCCGAAATCCCCCACTTCTTCTGCGACCTCATGCCCCTGCTGAAGCTCTCCTGCTCGGACACTCACACCAGCGAGCTGGCGATCTTTGTTTTCAGCCTCCTCATGGGCATCAGCCCGCTCTCATGCAACCCCCTCTCTTACACCTGCATCTGCCGGGCGGTGTTCAAGATCCCTTCAGCTCAGGGCAAGTGGAAAGCCTTCTCCACTTGTGGCTCCCACCTCACGGTGGTGTCACTCTTCTATGGCACCATCTTCGCCATGTACTCGCAGCCCGCATCTCTCACCTCCTCCCAGAGGGACAGGAAGGCAGCCCTGAGGAAGCTCCTCAGCAGACCCACCCCCTTTCAGCCCTAGGGCAGAGCAGGGATTGAGCACCTACTGTGTTCCAACAGCCCAGTTGGGTGCCGGGAAGAACAGGATGCATGCTGTCCCTGACCTCAAGGTATTCAGAGTCTAATGGGGGATAGAGACATGTAAATAAGTCATTACAACCTGACAGATGTGTCACAAAGAGGTGAATGAAGAGCTACGGGAACCCAAAAGGAAAGGCACATATTTCCCTTTGATTTATCTTCCCTGAAAACCAGAGCAGCAGGGAAGATTCCAATTAGCCCTCTCTGGGGTACCAGCCTTACAGGATTGCTATGTGGCTTATACTAGTCAAACAAAGGATCAGCTACTCTCAGGTCAATGTTGTTAAAGATCGAGCATATAAACTGTAGAGCCTGGATTCCTTAGTGACTTGCGGAAGGAATTTGACAGTATCTGATGAGATTAGTTCTCTTTCAATTGTCTACAGCAGCCACCAGGTGTCACTGGCGGCCTCTTGGCCATGACTTTGGGTGGGGGTTGTTGTCAGCAACAGGACTTCCGTGCACTGCCCCCTCCCCCACACTGGACCATAGCAGACCTGACACTCACGGGGAGTGTGACTCCGTGGGCTGGCACTGGACCCCAGAATCTTCCTAAGCTCTCCAGGTGACTGATGTGGGGAGTCCATGGGCCACAGTTTGAGGCCACAGGTATGGACTAGCTCCAGAGTCCATGTGTTTCCTGTGATGTATATCACCTAACTCCAAACCCAGTATAATTCCACAGGCATGATCAGCAAGCAGATGGGGTGGCCTGGAACACACGGAGAGTTTATTATGATTTGTGTCCTCCAAAAAAGATATGTCAAAGCATGACCCCCAGGACCTCAGGATGTGATCATGGGCCCTGATCCAGTGTGACTGGCGTCCTCATGAGAAGGGAGAATTCGGACACACACACAGAGGGAGAACAGCGAGTGAAAATGAAGGCAGCGATCGGGGTCGTGCTGCGACAATTGGCGACAGACCAGCAGAGGCCGGCGGGAGAGGCTCAGAGTAGATGGACCCTCCCTCAGAGCCCCGAGAAGGAGCCAACCCTGCCAGCCACTCTGATCTCAGACTTCAGCCCTCCAGACTGCGAGAGAATGAATTTCTGCTGTGTGAGTCACCCAGCTACTGGTACTTTGTAATTCAGCCGTAGTCGATGCACATGGTTAGTTTAGGAAGGGCCGGCATCATGCAAAACCCATGCCCAGATCCATCCTCTCAAGTTCACGACCTACCGAGTGCACTGGTTCAGGGAGTCTGGGCTGCGACTGGACAGCGAGGTGAAGTACTTGAACACGTGGGCTCGTTTTCCGGCTCTCGGTGTGATGACAATAACGCACCAGCACAGGGCAAAGCCTTGTCAACACATTGTCTCATTAAATCTTCCACAGCACCACAGGCAGGTGATATCACTGCTTACTCTACAGATGACAAAACTGGGTCCTGAAATGGGAAGCTGCTGCTGAGTGGTGTCCGGGGGTGACTCAGAGAACCCACCTTGGAGGCCCAGGTCTTCCTGGCACATGATATTTCTGGAATTCAGTGCCCAGGCCAGGGGCCTTCAAACTGAGGCCCCCTGAGCCAAATCCCATTTGCAGCCTGTTTTGGAACAGCCTGTGGGCTGAGAATGGCTTTTATATTTTTAAATGATTAGAAAAAATTAAAGGAAGAAAACTATCCTGTGAGGATTACTATTATATAAAATTCTAATTTTAACACTAGTAAATAAAGTTTTGTGGGAATACAGCCAAGCTCATTTGTTTACACGTCATCTGGGACTGACTTTTCTCAAGCCACAGGCCGAGTCAAACAGTCTCAACACTACGGCCGGCAAAGTCTAAACTATTTACTGTCTGGCCCTTCCCTGAGTTGGCTGACACATTCTCTACAGAAGAAGCCTGTACTCATGTCGGTCATGAACCAGAAGCATCGACATCAAGGGGAGTTCGCTGAAAACGAAGGCTCAAGGGCTCGCGCAGACCACTCACTGAATCGTGATTTCACCAACAACCCCAGGGGACCTACAAGAGCCTTCAAGCTGGAAGGTCACAGGGATAGATGAGGGGTGGGAGGAGGTGTAGAGATGTAGGACCCAAATAGGCCATCAGTTCAGAGATTTGACAAAACCAGATCTGAGCGTTTTTTTCCCAGTCCTTACCGTGTTCCGGGAGAGAACGGTGCCAGTCCAGGCCGAGCGCTTAAGAATTACGGCTACAGTTTGAGGAAATGGCCACCAGGTGGCGATAGTGCCACTTTATTGTACAAAAGAGGATCTGGAGCTCTTTTCGGAAACTTATCCTAGCTGTGAACTGGCCCAGTTCCACCTCAGGTGATTACACCCCAGGTGTCGTCCGCCCTTGGGAGGGCACAGCATGCGCTGAGCTCCCATGGTGGGAGGAAGCCTGGGTTGTTCAGAGAACCAAGCAACAGCGGGAGGGAAGTGAGGCGGGCAGGGGGCTGCGGAGGGGGCGGGCAGCCCTCACTGCCCGATTGGTCCACAGGGTAGAGGCGGCAGTGAAAAGGGTTAAGCTGGGATACGGGGAGGGCCTGTGCAACAGAACCAACCCGCTAGTGAGCCATACCATGGGTTAGGGGTCAGAAAACCTTTTCTGTAGATAGCTAGAGGATAGCTATCCTCAGCTTTATGAGTCATGCAGTTTCAATCACAGTCACTCCACTCTGCGGTTATGGAGCGGAAGCCACCATTGACAATACACCAAGGAACAGGTATGGCTGAGCACCCGTGAAACTTTACATACACTGGATCTTGAATTTTATAACACTTTACACGTAATAAATATAGTCCTTTTCTTTTACTCTTCCATTGAGAAAATGTATTGGTGTCATCAGAAGGATTCAGAAAGATTTGCAGCTAATACCTGCCTTCTACGTGTTCTTCTCTCCCAAAATGTAGTGATAAAGACTTGTAGCTTTTTTTTAAGAAGGTAAAAAATACTGTAGAAATAGATCTTCTGAAGGTGGCGCCACAGGACCTTTGCACACACTGCTCCCCCTTCCTCACTCCCTCCCAGAGTTAATGCCACCTTGACTTTGAGATTTCAGTGCAAACCCCACTTCCTTGGGGAAGCCTCTTCTCACCCTCTCCCTGCCCCAGAGACATCACAGGCCCTACCGCACTCATTATCACCTCATTCTCCTCATCGCATCAGTGATTCTATATTCATTTGTGTGACTCTTTGATGAATGTCTATTTCACCCACATGACTGAGAGCTGGGAGCTGAGGCCGTGTTCTCATTCATCTTGCCCAGCTGTGTACCCTCACACTTAGTACAGCAGCCTCTCAAAATACATGTCTTTGGTGAATGAATAAATGAACAAATTGACAAATGGATGGATGGATGGTTGCGAGTGTTAGGATGCAGCATAATGGAAAGACTGTAGGATGAGGATGAGGCGACTGGGTAGGCTGGGTTGAAACAGATGCCAAGGTCAAGTTGCTGTGGTATGTGATGTAAATCCTTTCTCCACTCTCCAGCCTCCGGGAAAGTCTGTCGCACATCCAAGAGCCTTAGTGAAAGCAAGGAGGGAAGCAGGAGGAACGGCGATCTCACAGTAGAACTGTTTAATTCAGCAGTAGCAGGAGACCATGGGAAGACAATGGTCTAGGGGTTCTCCAAACCCTCAGCAGGGTGTTGGGAGGGGTTTGAGCCAATTTATCTAGGTCGGAAGGAGCAGAGTACCCCTGGCCAGAGTTTGAGTACAATAAGACTTCTTTTTCTCCATATGGGATTTTATTGGGTGACTCAAAGCAATTTTGGAGATTTAGGCACTGTAGCTCAAAGAGGGAAACTGACTACCACAGGCCACATGCTGAATTTGGGAGGGGGGATGCCAGTCTGGCCTAGTGTGACCCCGAAACGTGAACCCTCTCTCTCCATCGTGATTGGATGGCCTCACAGGTGGGTGACTTGCCCAAAGTCACACTGCAGGTCGGGACAGCTCAAGGCCTGCCCCAGGTGGCGGGGGCGTGGTGGGAGGTAGGAAGATGGGGCAAAAGGTTGATTGCCCGTTGGAAGTGTACGCAAAGCTGCTGCTGGCAAGGCAAAAGGAAGGACTCAGTGAGAGTCCTCGCATGCAAGGTCCTGGAGGGGGCGCTCCTACTCCCAAGTGTATGTCTGCCCAGGACTCGGTGGTCACCACCATCTCTGTGAACCTGCACAGTGGGAGGCCCCCGAGACCACCAACAGGTTCAGTGATTTGCTGGAAGGACTCGCAGAACTCAGCCAAGCTGTTATACTCACGGTTTATCACAGAAAAAAATAACACCTTAAAATCAGCAAAGACAAAAAGCACCTGGGATGAGGTCCAGGAGGGACCAGGCACAAGCTTCCGGTGGTCCTCCCCACAGAGTTGGGTGGGTGGTGCTTCATTCCCCCAGCAGTGACGTGTGACCATACGTGTGAGGTACCACCGGCCAGAGAAGTTCACCTGAGTCTTCGTGCCCAGGGCTCTCCCTGGGATGTGGCCACCACACCGCTTCCCAAGGGCCGCCACAATAAAACACCGCAGACTTGGCGGTTTAAACAACAGACAATTATTTTCTCATAGTTTTGGAGGCTGAAAGTTCCTTCTGAGTCTCTTCTTGGCTCACAGAAGCCGTCTCCCACCTGTGTCTCCACGGGTCCCTCCTCCTTGTGTGAGTGTGTGATGGGGCCCTACTCCCCTCTGCTTGTAAGGAGGCCAGTCAGGCGGGGATGGGGCCCACTCTAAAGACCTCATTTTGATGTGGTCACCTATTTAAAGACCCCCATCTCCGAATACACTTAACATTCTGGGTTCCTGGGGGAGGGAGGTTAAGACTTCAACATATGAAGTTGGGGGTGGGGGACACAACTCAGCCCCTAACAGTCACACAGACATAGCTGACCACCCACGTGGCTCACCTTAGTTACTCAGTCTCTGGGCCCTCCAGAGGGCAAACGGATACAGTGTGGCCAAGGCACCCCCTGAAACTCACACTGCTAGCATAACTCTCTGTAAGCTCTTTGTATTCTTTGTATACTCTCCCCAGGTATACGGAGGGCTTAGAGGCCACCCCTCAAGAGCCAGCAGGGGCCAGACCTTTCTTTGGAATGTGCAGGAGAGCCCAGAGACACAGGAGGGAGAAAGGAGAAGCTGGGAAATGACCTGGGGTCCCTGCCTCCCTGCCCACCTGAGGCCACTTGTTCCCAACAGAGTAGCCACATGAGCACCCCAGTCCCTGCAAGCAAGGCCCCAGGGCAGCTGTTGGCCTGGCTGCTGGGACTGCAGGTGGCCCGCAGCGGGATGTACCCTGGGGCCTGGCCCCGCAGGACAGCCCAGCAGGCCTGCAGATGATGAAAGGAAAACACAGCTCGGTAACACCCTGCAGCTCTACTTCAGCTCCACAGCTGCCTGGCTGGGCTTTTCCAAGGGTCACAAGGAGGCTCTGTCTAAGATAGGCCCCACTGCTTCCTGCCTCCCCGGTGACACCACATCCTGCCTCAGGAGGCTGCCTCAGGGTGACTGGACCACCCTCTCTCCCTCCAGCTCCCCAGTGCTGACCCGTGGACATCTCTGGGCAGCCTCCTCTTCCTGGGTGCTTCCGAGGGCTGGCTCCCAGCTGCAGCACTCACCTCTTTACCCTGGAAGATGCCAGGGGCCGGAACAAAAGGGAATGACAATGCAGGTGGAAGCTAGGACTTGCTGGCCATAACCTTCTCCACCTTCCATTCCCCAGGAATGAAGGACCTGGGAGGCAGAGACAAGGAACTTAGTCCACACACACACACACACACACACACGCCCCACCCTGCAGCCATGAAAACCGGGGGAGCTAGTCTTCCTTTTGGCCTGAGGAGGAAACTGAAGCGAGAACATCTGCATGCTCTGGGCCCCCAGACGCTGACCCTGAGACAAAGATTCAAGTGCAAGTAGTTTATTTGGGAAGTGACCCAGGAAATGCTGGAATGGGGGTGGAGAGGGAATGAGACTGGAAAGGGAATGAAGTTGGTCAAGAGTGTGTTGATATGCAAGTTCCCACAGTGGGCAGCCGACCTCTGGGGGTCAGTGTGGAACATACCCCCCAGTCATTCCCACGAGGGGGAGGGGCCGGCACACTTACCCACTGACCCCGTCGCCCGCCATGGAAACGCAGAGCCCTCACTCAGACTCGCCAGGCCCTCCACCTGCATGTCCTCTTTCAGCAAATCTCGTGTGTGCTGGCGGCTGGTCTGTGTACCCATCAGGGACCATAAGCACAGTACATCCCACCTGCAGCCAGTGAGGACATTTGCAGGAAAGAAAACACACACACACGGGCTCCAAAATCCAAACAGCAAGCACCAGAATCCAGATGAATAACAGTGCAAGTGTCCCAAAGTGGGAAATTTAGCATCATAACCACTGCATTGTATGTGGTTTGTAGATCATTTGTTCTCACTGATCAAAAATGTCCACCCTTACCCGGCCCTGACCAGGTGGCTCGGTTGGTTGGAGTGTTGTCTCATGCACCAAAGGCTGCAGGTCCGATCCCCAGTCAGGGCATATACAAGAATCAACCAATGAATGCATGGTGGAACAAATTGATATTTCTTTCCCTCCTTCTCCCCGCCCTTTTCTCTAAAACTAAATAAATAAATAATTTCTGATTGCTGAGAAAGAACCACAGCCAAGTGTGAACTCTATGAGCTACAACTAGCCAAATAAATGTAACAGACAAAGTACAGAAAACTTCCCAAAAGGTGTACCTTGAAAAATAATAAAATTGATATGACATGTGGCTGCTTTCCCATCATTTGATGTGGCCTGGGTGGGGCCAGGGGCCGCTCTCACCTCATACCAGTCTTCAGTTCCCCTGAGGTTCTGGGGCACCCGCTGGGATCCTCTGCCTTGGACTTGTGAAGAGGTTTTGTTTTGAACCCCAACGTCTCTCCCCACTATCAGCAGCTGCCTCAGAACCACCTGGGCAGGGATCTCATGGGACGCGCTGAGCCCTCTCCAGCCTGACTCCTCCCAGACACACACGTCCCAGGGAAAAAACGGAGCCGTCCTAGACTTGGGGGACACTCCCAAACACATCAACATACACACAACGGCACTCCCAGAAAGAGAGAAGAGAAAGGGACAGAAAGAATATTTGAAGAAATAATGGTCAAGAAACTTCCCAGCATTAATGACAGCTATAATCTGCACATCTAAGAAGCTCAAAGAACTCAAGTAGGATAAGTACAGAGATATGCACTGAGGCATTATAAGCGAACACAGCTTCTCCTGGCCAGGCCTCCTGGCCACTCTGTCTGTCCAAGACTCCATCACCTGGCACCTGACCTCCTGCCTAAACAGTCAGCAGTGAACCAGACAGACAAGCATCAGGTGGAGACTCAGTCTAGACGGGATGCAGATAAACTAAGACAAACCAGAGCAAACTACTACTGGTACTATTAAGTTCAAGCTGCAACAGGTATTCCAAGAAATGCAGAGGTGTAATCATAACTAGATGGTGGTGTGCTGCCAGGGAGGGCCTCCCAAGGAGGCTCCATTGGAACTCAAGGATGAGGAAGGCTTCTGAGGCAGAGGGAGCTGCCTGTGCAAAGGGCCTGGGGCAGGAGCCGTTTGATGTACAGGAGTCCCAGAGACGAGGCTGAGACCAGCACTGAGGACACCAAAGGGGATGACACCAGAACTTGGTTGGGCTGGATTTCACTTGTAGGAATCTGGACTTTATCCTAGGTGGGGTGAGCAGTCACCAGAAGACTGTTCAGCCGCAGGGGGGGGGGGCGGCAATCTGATTCCAACTTTTTAAGTCCACTCTGGGCGCTGAGTGGAGAATGGAATGTAGGGAGGTGGAGGGTTAGATTTCTCAAGACCACCACAAGGATCTCCCGTCCCACAGCCTCTTGCACAAGGTCATCTTGACACGTCACCAGCAGAGAGAGATGGGTCTATGTCCCCTCCCCGTGAAGCTGGTTCTTGAAGTGACACTGTGATATTCGAGGGTGGGTGGGTCAGGAAAAGTGATATAGCTTCTGCCCTGTTCACTTGTGGAGCGGTGTGTGGCTGTGTGAGAAGCCCGCCTACCTCCCAGGTGGCGCGTCAGTGTCCCGCGCGCAGCTGGCGGCAGTTGCGGGCCTGTGCGTGCAGTGCCTCCGGATGCTTCGGACCCCTAGCCGCTGTGTCACCTCCAAACCTCGGGGTCCTTCCCACCGAGAGGCAGGGACGACCCGTGTCAGCTCTGCCCCGCCCCGGTTCCTGAACCGCGGCATCCGTGAGCATCGTGCAATGTCTGCTCGACCACTGCATTTGGGGGCGATTCTTTAAACAGCGGCAGTAACTGGAGTTGGGGAGGAGGCGGGCACCCGGGAGGCACCCAGGACACCAAGGAAGAGCGGTGCCTCTGGAAGGGGCGATGCCAGGGCTTACAACAGGTTAGAGCAGCGGGTGGGGCAGAAGGGAGAGGTGCAGGATCTGTTTTGGAGGTAAAGCCAAGAGAACCAGTGATCACCAAGGAAGAGCGGGAAAGAAGGAAGACGAGGGCCCGACGTGCGCCACCATATATCCCTATAGGAGTCGGAGCCCAGGAAGGCAGCCCAGAGCCCCCTTCCCTGCCCTCCCTCCAGGGCGACTACAACTCCCAGCATCACTCGCTCAGGCCTCGGGAAGGGGAAAAAAAAAAAAGTTTGGGCCAAGCATTCCCGGAATGCGCTTCCTGCTGGCGCTGGGCGCGGGGCTGTCCGGGCGGGGCGGCCGGGCGGGGCGGCCGGGCGGGGGGCGGCGCAGCCGGACCCAGGGCGCACTCGGCCCGGCCGGGGCCCCAGCATGGCCGAACCACTGCTCAGGAAAACCTTCTCCCGCCTGCGGGGCCGGGAGAAACTTCCCCGGAAAAAGTCGGACGCGAAGGAGCGCGGTGAGCAGGACAGGGGGCCGAAGGACAGGGCGCCAAGCCCCGCCCGGTCTGGAAGGTGTCCCGGGCCCGAGGAGAGTCTGCTGGAGGGGCAGGGGAAGCCCCTTGGAGCCCTCTGCGGGCTGGAGTTGGGGATCCGGGGCGGGAAGGGGTCCTGGAAGGAAGGGACTGTGGGGAGAGGGGCGCGGACCGTTACTTGCGTGTAGCCTGGGATGCCAGCGCTGCGGACTCCTTGGGAGGCCCTGGAGGGGGCCTCGCCCCTGACAGGAAATGGGGCCAAAGCGGAGAGCCTCGAGAGTGGAGGGAGGAGGGGATGGGAAGCTGGGACACTGGAGCCCAGTCACTGCACGAGGCACCCAGAGCCCTGGAGACCCAGGATAGACGGGGGAGGAGGGGCGCGCTTCTGCAGGAGGCAGAGACCTGGCGCATTCATCACAGTAGGCAGCCCTCATTCCCCTCTCACCTATTACCCAATGATTGCACTTGCAACAACCTTAAGCAGCCCCAGGAAACTGTCCCCTTGGTACAGGTGGGGAAACTGAGTCACCGAGCGGTTGGGTAATTTGCCCGGGGTTAGTTAAGTGACTTGAACAGCTCTTTGGACTATGCTCCTAATAGAGGCCCGGGAGAGAGTCCTGGGGGCTGGAAATCAGAGGTGAGGGAGGAGGGAGTCCGCCGGCGAGCAAGATGAGACCTTAAAGAAACGGGAGCTGCGTAGGGCAGGAAGTCCGGGGAAGGCAGGAGTTAAAGAAGAGAGGCCAGATGACTCCTGGATCTGACCTTCCCTCAGGCCCTCCCCAAAGATCCCCAGAGTAGAGAGATGGGACTGGGTGCCCACGCACAAACACACACAGGAAACAGCCTGGGGTGTCGGAGAGGGGAGGCGCCAGGGTAGTAGTGACCACAGGATTCTGGTCTGGGCTGAGATGGCCCGCCCCCCGCAGGGGTGGGATGTGGGAGACAGCCATGGTGGGGGCACAGGGGAGGGCATGCCACAGGAAGGCAGAACCTTGTGCGCCCGGTCGTGCCTGCTCCTGTCTTCCGAGCAAGCAGGCCGGCGTCCACTGGGCGCTGTGTGCGCGATCGAACACGGGGGTCCAGGAAGTGCTCCCCACGCCTAGCTCTCTGAAGCTCCCCTGGAGAGAACATCGGATCCCCCCATGTCACAGGACAACACTGAGGGTCAGAGATGGGAGGGGACTTGCCCCAAGCCACCCAGGGAGAAGGGGCAGGGGCAGGGCACTATGCCAGGGTTAACTGAGAAGGGTGGAGAGTTGGAGCTGGGAACACAGGACCCCCTGGGGTGGGAGGCAGAGGGACGTTAGGGATCTCGGGACTAAGGTGGAGTGCACTCTAAGCTGGTAACCGACCCCATTCCAAACAAACATCCCAACTGCTGCTGGGCTGCTGCGGGAAGAGCCTGGGCCGGGGCTTCTCTTTTGTGGGACAGGGGGGCTGGGTCTTACTCCCTCGCTCTCTGTCAGGACACCCAGTCCAGCGCCCGGAGCCCAGTCCTCCAGAGCCAGAGCCCCAGGCCCTCGAAAGGTCCCAGGCTGGAGCAGAGGGGCCCCCCAGCCCTGAGGCATCTCGCAGTCCCTCACGGGGAGCCTACCTGCAGAGCCTGGAGCCCAGCAGTCGAAGATGGGTGCTAGGCGGGGCCAAGCCACCAGAGGAGGCAGCTTTGGGGTCTGGGGCACCTGGCAGCGGGGAGCCTGCAGGAGAGATCTGGTACAACCCCATCCCTGAGGAGGACCCCAGGCCCCTGGCACCTGAGCCCCCAGGGCCACAGCCAGGCTTGGCTGAGCCGCAGGGCCTGGCCCCACAAGGTGAGCACAAGCCTCACCCACCCACCCCCATCCCAACCCTCCTCCCTGGCTCCCCAAGATGACCACAGGCCTCAGCCCCATTCCATGCTGAACCCTGAGGTCTGCTGTTCTCACAGGTGTGGCCCCTGCCAGCTCCCCAGCCAAAGCCTCTCGAACCAAATCCCCAGGCCCTGCCAGGCGCCTCTCCATGAAAATGAAGAAGCTGCCAGAGCTCAGGCGGCGCTTGAGTCTTCGAGGCACACGGGCTGGCCGAGAGCGTGAAAGGACAGCCCCCGCTGGCTCCGTCATCAGTCGTTACCACCTGGACAGCAGTGTAGGGACCCCTGGGCGGGCGGCAGTGGCCGGGGGTGCCCGGGGCCTGCGAGCCGGGTACCTCAGTGATGGTGACTCACCAGAGCGCCCAGTGGGGCCCCCGTCGCCCACCGCCTTCCAGCCCTATGAGGTGGGCCCATCAGCCCGAGCGCCCCCTGCTGCACTCTGGGGCCGCCTCAGCCTGCATCTGTATGGGCTGGGGGGTCTGCGGCCGGCACCTGGGGCCACCCCGAGAGACCTCTGCTGCCTGCTGCAGGTGGATGGGGTGGCCAGGGCCCGCACCGGGCCGTTGCGTGGAGGGCCAGACTTCCTGAGGCTGGACCACACTTTCCACCTGGAACTCGAGGCTGCCCGACTACTGCGAGCCATTGTGCTGGTGTGGGACCCTTGTGTACGGCGGCACCGGCCCTGTGCCCAGGGCACTGTGCTGCTTCCCACAGTTTTCCGAGGTAGGATGCATGGCCCTGGGGAGAAGCGGTGTAGGGTACAGGATTCAGCCCTCCTCCAGAGTGCCCAGGGCGCCATGCTCAGGGTGGGAGTGTGGCTTGGAGTAGGAGGCCAGGGCACAGGAGCCGACTCAAGTCCCCTTGTGTCTTCAGGATGCCAGGCCCAGCAGCTGGCCGTGCGCCTGGAGCCCCAGGGGCTGCTATACGCCAAGCTGACCCTGTCCGAGCATCAGGAAGTACCCAGCACAGCTGAGCCCCGTGTATTTGGGCTGCCCCTGTGTCTGCTGGTGGAGCGGGAGCAGCCCCCAGGCCAAGTGCCCCTCATCATTCAGAAGTGTGTTGGACAGATCGAGCGCCGAGGTCTGCGGGTGAGCCTCTCACCCCACACCCCAGCTAGCCCCCAGACCTCAGATCCATTCCCCAGGACACCCAGGACACAGAGGCCAGGCCTTGCCCCATCCCTACCCTACCTGGGATACTCTGAGCTCCAGTCCCAGCCTAGACAAGGTCAGGAGGCCCCCCCTAGACCACAGTACCTGTCCCGGAACCTACAGGTCATCCACCCACTTAGTGACACAGGATCCCAACCCTCTGGAGCTCAGAGTCTCAAGGCACAAAAGACATGACTCCAGTAATAAGTTACAAATGTAAGATTGTGGCTGGGACAAGAGTGAAGAAGCTGGGACTTAGAGCAGGACTTCACCTGCTGGCTGGGGTAGTCAGGGAAGGCATCCTAAAGGAGGTGACAAGTGAGCTGAGGACTCCTGTCAGAAGTTCGTAAATCAAAGGATGTGGGTATCAAGACAATTGTGATCCAAGCAGAGGGTTTACAGGTCCAGGTTATCCAGACAGCCAGGTGGGAACCCTATGACAAGTGTCAGAGGAGCAGGAAGGCATCCACTGAGGCTACAGCTAGCCCCCAACCTCTTAGCCAACTGCCACCCTGAGCCAGAACTCCAGCCCCTTCCCCAGTGGGCCCTGATCAGTCTGTGGCCCCAGCGAGAAGCCACCCCCCCTCTGCTCCCACACCTAGGTAGTGGGGCTGTACCGTCTATGCGGCTCGGCAGCTGTGAAGAAAGAGCTTCGGGACGCCTTTGAGCGAGACAGTGCGGCTGTCTGCCTCTCTGAGGACCTGTACCCCGATATCAATGTCATCACTGGTCAGCATGCCTCTTCCCCTCCCACCTCATATCTGCCTGCTCCTGATTCAACCCTCACTTCATGGCAGTCCCTGTTGCTCCTCTGGGACCTCACCTCTTCTGTCTGGCCTTGTTTTCACCTTCCTGCACCTGTCCTCCTCTTCCCACACCCCCAGCCCCAGCTGACCCCTCCAGCCTCAGAAGCCAAGGTTGCCCTGACCAGAGTGGGCCCTGTGTCCACAGGCATCCTCAAGGATTATCTTCGGGAGTTGCCCACCCCACTTATCACTCAGCCCCTCTATCAAGTGGTGCTGGAGGCCATGGCCCGAGGGCCCCCGAGCAGGGCTCCCCCCAGCACTGAGGGTACTCGTGGGCTCCTCAGTTGCCTGCCGGATGTGGAGCGGGTGAGTTGGGCCCGGGTAAGAGTGGGTGGGACAGGGAGTGGGCTGACATTAGTCGAACAGTTCACCCATGCCTGGGGCCAGTGATGGCCATTTGTGGCGTCAGAAAGTAGATGCTAAAAAAAAAAAAAAAAAAAAAAAGAAAGTAGATCCTATTAGTATCCCTACTAAATAAATGTGGAAACCAAGACCCAAAGCAGTTGAGTGACTTACCCAAGGTTGCACAGCCAGATCATATCAAAAACGCAGGCTCTAGCCATGGCTGGTGTGGTTGTGTCTCAGTTGGTTGGAGCATCATCCTGTAAAGGAAAAGTCACAAGTTCAATTCCCTGTCAGGGCATATGCGTAGGCTGTGGATTCAGTCCCCATTTGGGGCACCTACAGGAGGCAGCTGATGAATGTTTCTTTCTCTCCCGTCCCTTCTCTATAAAATCAATAAACATGTCCTCGGGTGAGGATAAAAACAAAACAGACTCTGAAAACAGATCTGTCAACATACCACAAGGAAGGTTCCTGGTTATAGGATCCTGGACAAGACCGGACCTTCTCTGTGCTGCAGTACCCTCATTTATAAAATGGGATTAATACCAACCCTTCCTAAAATACAGAAGTGTGGGTTCAAGTTCAAGGTTTGCCATTCCAAAGCTGTTATCTTTGGTCTCCCCTCCAGCAAAATGGGATCATAATACTAATACCTAATGGTTAAGTCTTAGCTCCGTCATCTCCCAGCTTTGAGACCTTGAACCTCAGTTTCCCTATTCTGAGGCGCCTAAGTCTCCCTCATGCCTTCCCAATTCTTTTCTCAGGCCACACTGACGCTTCTCCTGGATCACTTGCGCCTGGTCTCCTCCTTCCACGCCCACAACCGAATGACCGCGCAGAACCTGGCAGTGTGCTTCGGTCCCGTGCTGCTGCCGGCGCGCCAGGACCCAGGCAGGTCCCGCATCCGCACCTCTAGCCCGGGCCTTGCCAACACCGTAGACTTCAAACGTCACATCGAAGTTCTGCACTACCTGCTGCAGGCGTGGCCAGGTGAGTCCGCCCTGGCCGGCACCGCCAATCAGAGCCAGGCCTTCGAGGGAATGCTTTCTCTGGCAGCCAATGAAAATCTCGGGTTTCAAACGAGCCACGCCCCTCATCAGAGTAAATAGTTCAGGTCCAACCAATCCATGCTTGATGCTGCCTCTTTACATGCCAATCAGATTGCCTAAAGCAACCAGCTTAGCCAATGAAGTCGTGATCGGTCGGAGGCTTTGCCTTTCAACCAACCAATCAGGGGCATGGTTACCTACGTAGCCAGTCACAGGCTTGGCTTCCCCTCGCTGTGCGTAATGTCATCACAAGCCCTTCCTCTTCCTCCACAGATCCACGCAGGTCTCCAGAAGCTCCGGGCTTCGACCCGTACCCGCGGCCCAAACCACAGCCCCCGCTGCACTTGCCGCTGGCGGCTCCCGAAGTAGTGACTCGCCCCCGCGGCCGGGGTGGTCCCGAGAGCCCCCCGAGCAACCGCTACGCTGGAGACTGGAGCGTTTGCGGGAGGGACTTTTTGCCCTGTGGGCGGGACTTTCTGTCCGGGCCGGACTACGACCACGTGACAGGCAGTGACAGTGAAGAAGAGGATGAGGAGGCGGGCGAGCAGACCAGCGCCGCCGACTTTGAGGATGATTTCGAGGCGCCCTTCAACCCGCACCTGAACCTCAAAGACTTTGACGCCCTCATCCTAGACCTAGAGAGAGAACTTTCTAAGCAAATCAACGTGTGCCTCTGAGCCTGGTGGGGCAGGACCCCGGTTGCTAAAGGCCCGGCTTCAGATAAGGAGGACCTGAACTACAGAAACGGACCAGACCAGTCTGTCCGGCATAGCTCCTGGTTGCTGGGGAGTTGCCTAGTGACCGACCAGCCAGCCAGATGCTGAGGTTCATTTCTCGTTTCCAGTGCTAAATTATTTGGGTACTGGTTGCAAAGGCCAGGGACTGGATATTTTGGGACGAGCTGTTTTGACTATCTTCGCTAAGTACCAAGGGCTTCTCCCGCTTGCTGGGCTGGCCTCTCTTGCCTCCCCTGTACTGGGGAAACACCAGTTAATGTGAGCGTCACCCTGGGATGATGAGAGACCCCCACTCCCAGTCGGTTCTTTTGCTGCTGCCGACCAAATCAGTATTAGCTTTGAGCACTGCACTCTGCTTCTCCCTCCCTTGGAGGATCCAAGGACTCTGAGGAGGCGCTGTTTGGGGCGGGGTCAAGAACAGCCCCTACCAGACTCCAGCTGGGTAGGGACAGCCTGGAGCTTATAGAAAAACAGCTGTTCCCCCACTCTTTCCCAGGGAAAACCCCCACAATTGCCTCAAACCAGCTGGCCCCTGCCTTCCCCAATTCTTCCTCAATCCTTAAAGAAATTGAGCACTTACGAGACCTCCCTCTTGGAGGGGCCCCACCTGAAGTGTCAGGCTGGGGTCACTTTGGTACGGAACGTATTTATTGCCTCCATGCATGTCTGCGTGTGAGGATGAGTGTGCATGGACACCTTTGCAGCAGGCGTGTGGGGCTCTTTCAGGGACCATGGCGGGGGGTGGGGGGCCGGCGGGCAGGGTGGCCTCACAATGCTGAGCACCCTGAAATCTCCAACACTGGTGTCTCAGTGGGTCCCAGAGTTCCAGTGGGAGAGTAAGGTCCCCTCCTGTCCCCCCCTCCCCCTCACATCTTTGTGAACAATAAATCAATATGCATAGGTTCTGGGGTGAGTACTTGGATCCAGGTTGACCAGATGGTTTATTCAATGTGTAAGAAAAGAGAAAAAGGGCACAACTGGGCCCACAAAGAAAAGCCCCAGGGCTCTCCAGCGCTTCCAGGAAGCTTCAGCCCCTGCCTGTCTTCAGGCAGGGTTGTAGGGTCACTGGGCCTCACAGGGTAGGCCCAGAACAGGCAAGGATGAGACTCCAGACCAGCTTGGTAGTCCAGGGGTGGGAAGGCACCCACAAGGCCCTACACAGCAATGGAGCCCTCGCGGAAGTCCGTCCTCCCAATAAGGATGTTGACTACAACCGGGTGGCCATCTTGGCACTTCTGCTGGGCATCACGAAGCACCTTGACCACCTGATCCTCATTCTCCCGTGACAGCAGCAAGCCCTGAGCCCCCAGGCCCACAGCTGCTTTGTGATAATCTAAAAGGGGAGGTCAAGTCAGATGGTAGCAGGGACCCAGCCCACCATGCAGCCAGCCCAAGGGAAGAACACACACCCAGCAAAGCCGTAAATAGCCCCCCTAAACCAGACCCCTCACCAGTGTAGGCCAGGCCACAGGCCACATTGCTGCCCAAAGAGGGCACCTGCTCCCGAGAAATCTGGGTCCAGCCAGCATCATTCCCTATCAAGGCCATCACTGGGATCTGCAGGGAGAAGGTGAGGCAAGGCCACAACATTCAGCCCCCAGGCTTCACCAGCCAGAGGACACAGAGAGAGAGAGGTCCTCCACCACACAGAAGCAACTCCCTCCCCAGCCCTGATGACATCTCCCAGAACCCCCAGCCTTCCCCTGGGGCAGCCTGGTTACCTTGTGTCTGACAAAGGTGTCAAATTCGATGAGGCTATACCCAAAAGCTCCATCCCCAAACAGGCACCAGACCTGAGGTGGGACAGAAATGGTTGGGGTAGTTCATGGCCCAGAAAGCAGCAAGCCTCCTGCCTCCAGTGCCCTGACTCACCTCAGCATCTGGCCGGCACAGTTTGGCCCCAAGTGCAAATCCTGCACCAACCCCCAGAGTCCCAAAGGCCCCTAGGAAACCAAGAGAAGGTAGTTATTAAGGGGCCTGAGTGGTACAAAAGTCTCCAGGGGTAGGCCCTTCCTTACCAGGATCAAGCCAGCGCAGGGGGCCACGGGCCTGCACCATATGGGCGGCAGTACCCACAAAGTCCCCGCCATCCACCACCAGAATTGAGTTGTCAGGCAAAGTTTCCTCCACCAGCTGCAGCACCCGCACCGGGTTCAAGTGCTGGGCTACAGGCATCATCGCCTTCTCCCTGCAATGGAGCAGTGCAGGTCAGCAGGGCCAGCAGCAGACGCTGCTGGGAACCCACCACCCTCCATGGCCATTCTACCAGCCCCCACCGAAAGGACTGCTCCTTCTGCCAGTCAGCTTGCTGAAGCTCCTCTGCCCAGTCTGAGGCCCACGTCTGGCCCTGAAGGCCCTCCACCAGCTTCAACATGAAGGAACCCACGTCTCCTGGAGAAGGAAGAGGGTACAGCTGTAGAGAGATGGCTTCCTCCTTTCTTTCCAGCACCAGAGGCTCAAAGACAGCAGGAAGCCAACAGCAGCCCTGCAGCAGGAGGCAGGGAGGCAGACCAGGGGCGCTCACTGGGAAAAATGGGCAAAACACACCCCAGAGACTCTAGAACCAGGTTAAGGCAGAAGGGATGAGAGGGAGGGCAAGGCTAGAAAAACAAGATGCGCAAAGCAGACTAGAAACCTAAGCCAATCTCATCGCCTGCCTCCCCATCACACCCTGGACCATACAGTCCTAGCAACTCTTCCTCTGAAAGATATCACTAAAACCACCTCCATCTGCCAAGCACATGTCTACAACCCAGGCATGCAGAGTACTTGTGAACGAATACACGAGCTGGCGATGATATACTTTTCATCATCTCCATTCAGAAATAATATCCTGCCCCTGGCTGGTAGGGCTCAGTGGATTGAGTGCCAGGCTGCAAACCAAAAGCTTGCAGGTTCGATTCCCAGTCAGGGCACATGCCTGGGTTATGGGTCAGGTCCCCAATTGGAGGTGTGCAAGAGGCAACCAATTAATGTTTCTCTCCTCTTCTTTCCTCCCTTCCCCTTTCTCACTGAAAGTAAATTTTAAAAATCTTTTTAAAAAAGAAAGAAAGAAGTAATATTCTGGAGGATCAGAGAAGTTGAGCTTCTCCTTCCATCCATCTCCAATCCAGGCCTTGTCATTTCTTAACCCGACCCTGTTTAAAAGACCCCTTGACCTCCTGGTCTCCTTAAAAGACCACCTGGCCTCCTCCAACTCGCTGCCCACCCAGCTGTTACAGTGGACCTTCCCAAACACAAATGAAATGGTGCCATTTCTCTGCTTGACAAGAGTTCCTGTCACCTACACTGCAGGGAAGTCCATGTCCTTGGAATGATGGGCAAGTCAAAGCAGGGCACAGAAGGCCACGGGGGAAGACTGGACAGTGGTAGCGGGGTTATGACAGGATGACAGAGGCCTCAGGGGCCAAGGAGTGAGCTCTCTGTCCTAACAGCAGCAGGCAGCATGAGACGTTTTGCAGCCAGGGAACATGATCACAGGCACATTCCCAGGCCTGCCCTTCAGTGCACACACACCATTTGTTCGTCCAGAAGCACCCATCAGTCTGAGAGCCAAAAACACATCTCTGGCTGACTGGGTGCCCCCTTAGGGTAGAGTCCAGACCCAGAACCCAGCTCAGGCCAGCTGCAGCAGAAGCCAGGAGAGGGCTCAGAAGGACACTTGCGGGCTCGTTAGGGGCTCACCTTGCACAGCCTCCTGGGGCTTCCAGAACATGTCTGAGTTGATCAACATCTCTTTCCGGTTACGGTTAACAATGATGATCTTGCTGCTGCGGCTGAGGACACGGCCATAGGATAGGCGGAAGTCACAGACGATTCCTGGGGCAGGGGATAGGGGAATAGTGGATGGAGGGCCACTGTCCTGGGGGTGCCCACTACCTAACTTAATCCACCAAGGAAGACTGCATACAAAAGGGTACCCATTCTTCACCTCTCCCTGGACCAGCGCCCCCTGCAATGATTTTGTAGCTCCCCAGCCCTTGAACCTGAGCTGGCCTCAGGATGTGCTCTGGCCAGCAGAGTGTGTCAGGAATGCTGGCATTCATTCCTGAGACCAGACCTCAATATGCCTTGCAGCTTCCACTCCCTCTCTTAAATAACCTTGTTCCCTCAGCCCTACATGTTTCTCATCCTCCACCAATTAAACCAGCCCAGGCCCAGCCTACTGGGTGATGAGGATTACAGAGGAGAAGTTAGGGAAGAATGAGAACTCAGAATCCTAGCTGAATCCATGCTAGCCCAGCTAGAGCCCCAGCCAACCTGCAGGTATCTGAGCCAGCACAACCTGGATCAGCACAGCTGCCCTCCTGCCCCCCTCACCGCAGACCCCTGAATGAGCCCTGCCAAAACGAGAAAAACTACCACCTTACCTGTAGATGGGTCTTGGGAAATAATAACTGCAATTTGAGGCACTGAGGGTAGGAATGGTTATTACGCAGCAATAGGTAACGGATACAAGTACTATGTGTCTGAAAGGTTTCAAGGCACTTTATGTGAAAATGTGTATGCCACAGGTGTATGTGCTGTATAAAGTATAAACACTGTATAACACATACAAATGTAACTGCTGTGCAGAAAGTTCCGCAGGGGCCCACTATCTGTGTCCTCCTTTGTGCAAAGCTGGGTCATATCGTGCAACTACAACCTGGCAAGAGTTCACCTGAATTTCAAATTCAGGGTTGTTCCAAATCCTTGAAAGGGGAAGGGGTGAGACCAATGAGTACCAGACTAGCAGGGGCAGGGTCACAGGGTAAGGCGGGTCCTGCACACAGGGAAAGGGAAGGGCGGGGAGGAGGCCGAGGCCCACCTGCCAGGAGGACGACGTCTGCCTTCTTCAGGGCAGCACTGCGGTTCTGCCGAATGTGGAGAGGGTGGTTTCGGCCCAGCAGTCCTCGTGCCATCCCGCCCAGGAAGCAGGGGACACCCAGGGTCTCCAAGGCAGCCCTGCAGGTCCAGGTAAACAGAGGTAAGAGTGACCAAGGGGCTGCCCATCCCCATAGGGCACCAAGGGACCAGGGACCAGGAAGGTGATAGTTAAGGCAGAGCTAAGGCTTCTCACCGAAGCTTGTCAGCGGGTGTCGGGGGCAGTAGGGCCTGGCTCCCCAGCAGCACCAGAGGCCTTTTGGCCCGGCTCAAGATCTCCACACAGCGCTGAACCTGGGGCGAGAGGTAGAGCTCAAAGAGCTGACCCTGACTCACCATCAGCCCCCAAGATCAAGGCCCCAGTACTGACTAAAGGACAGGCTGTCCCTCCAGGTGGGGATCCCCGGCCAGGGAAGAGAGGCAATTTACCTGCTGGGGAGGTGCCTGGGGAATGTCCAGAGGCAGGGGCCCCTCAGGTTGAGGCTCCCAGGCTCCTGCAAAGAGATTGGCCAGGTGATTCTCTAAGTACCTGCAAAGAGGAGAGGAAGGGGTGGTTACCAGGATTCCTTACTGGGTTTAAGGAACTGAAGCTGAATGGAGGGGCTGAAGGAAGAAAGGGGCCAGGAGGGAAGAGGGATGGGCATCGGGGTGGTCGAGCAATGGCCCAGGGACAGACAACCCCCAGTTACAAAGTCTCTAGTAGCCTGTTTCCCTCAGAAGCTTCTGATGACCACCCAAACCTGACATAGACCCTCAGAAACAAGTGACAGGCATGAGTCCCAGAATCATGGCCATAGCTGCAGGATCAGGTGGAGGTGGCTCTGCTGCTTCCTAGCTGTGCGACTTTCAGCAAGTGACTTAACCTTTCTGAGCATCCTACTCTGTAAAATGTAAAAAGGAACCTCCCTCCCCAAGGTTCAGTGATCTATTCATTCAGGATAGAGAGCACTTAGCAAAAGCATCAGTGATGTCAGTGGAAGCTACTGACATCATCAGTACACTTTCCTCTTTCTCAGGCTTCTGACACCCCTTCTCTGTC